GTGGTTTAGATTAGGAAGATTAATCCTATCCTATATGTTTAAATACAGTCAAACAGAGAAATGCAGTCACAAAGATAGGTGTTTCTAGCACTCCATGCTCTCTACCTCAACTTCATTCCAATCTGTTTTGTTTTTAGAATTATAGGAGCACCTGTGCTGATGGCAGGAAGGTTTGTTTTGCTTTCATATATGCAGCAGGCTGGGAAGAAGAAAAAAAATCTACTTTCCAAAGAAGGTAACATAGCACGGTTGTGATGGGTGTCCATCAACACAGACAGCATGCATTACCTTGGTTTGAATGGAGCTCAGGGCATCCACAACCTTCTGCATCTCAGGCTTGGCATTTCCCACCTGTAACACAAACCATATGAAAATAAAAATCACCATGCATTCTCATGACACCTTTAGTTTTCTGTTACAATTCTCAAGGAAACTTTTTTTCCAGCTACATTTCATTACATAATAGGAGTATTACAGCATAAGTGACTTAAACAGGCTCTGTAAAATCATGCCAGTTGACAGCGAGCACAAACGGGTCAGCCAAGGACATGGGACACAATGAAGCTATTTTCATTTACAGTGTGTGGATTTATTTTTGGACCTAAGCTGTTCTTCTTTTATGGAAGTCACCCTCCTAATAAAATAGTCACCCGCAGTGAGGCCAGGATGGAATACTACATACTGCTGGAGCAGACACTCCTCCAGCTAGCTGTCAAGACAATTCAACTAGCACAAAACACAAAACACTCTGGCATTTAACAATGACAAGAGAAGGAAAATGGGTTTTATTTAGGCTGGTCACACTGCATATTCGCACACACAACTTGGTCAGTTATGCACATCACCTTTCACTGGTAACACTTAAGGTAGCATCACTGTCTTGATGAAGGCAAGAATGCTGTTACAGGGCTGCCACGGTGATGGATGGCAGTCACACTCCATGGCCAATGTACATTTTTTACAGATAAAGGAAGGTAAGAATTTGGAGCATGAACTAGCTTACTATGGATTTGGGCAGTATAGCAAATGCTGCCTTATTCTCTATTTTCTGCTCTTAGGTTCCCCTCTTCAACACAATGGATGTGCTGGAAAATAATACAAAAAATTTGACAAACCTTCATGAAGATGCCCACCACAGCTAAACCATCAGGATGTTTCACAGCTTCAGCAAATTTACCATATTTTACATTCCAGTGAACAATATGGAGCTATGAGTAAGAAAACAAAGAAGCATGGTAAAGATGATATTCCATTCAGAATACTTCACAAATGAACATGCAGGGAAGTAATTTATTAAGAGTAAGATGGTGTTTTACTGCTGAGGTTTGAAAGCTTCTGTGTACAGTTAAGAAGATGTTGAATTATTTATCTAGTTTAAAGTTTCATTTATTCAAAGAGATTTCTGTAATGTGTTTTATTTTGCTCCCCACTCTTATTCCCTGGTGAGTTTTAAAGGCAAGCTGTGGCTGTATCATTCTGCTTTTCATGTGGTGAACCTCCTGTTATCTTCAGCGTAAGTTTTTCCCACATACAGCCCACAGGATTTTGGAGTTCTTACTACACTGATATATATTGCCAGTGTCAGAAGAAGCAGAGAAGACATTAACTACAGATTTGACTCACAATTTGGAAGTTTTTTTTTTTAAAAAACATTCCTGCCATTTACTGGAAAGACTTGGAAAAGAATATGAAATTAACCTCCAGGTCATGTTAGCCAGGATGTTACTTTCTTTTAAATTAGAAATAACTTGGGAATTAAAGTTCATCAGGCTGTTTCCCCACATCTGCAAGTTAAGTTTAACAAGTAACTATGGTACTGTGAAAGACAGAAGGCAACCTAAAATTTCTCAGATAAGACAAAAGCTACTTCTCTCATGAAAAGAGCCAATACATTTTTGGGGCAATTTCTTCTATCTGTCAGTGCAAATCACAGGTATGTTCCACAAGTGTATATTTATGAATATATTTTAGAAGTCAGTCACAGAAACCAGAGATGGATTTCTAAACAGAGGATGAAGAAAGGTGGGATGTAAGGCATTAAAGTTACTCACTTTCTGTTTCAGACTGTAATATGGAGTCTTAAGTGGTCCGATTCCACATAGAATCCAGAGTCTCAAGGGTATCACAAAGAGTGCCAGACAGTAAGATTGCACTGTCTGCTCTCTTCATAGCTCCCCTTGATTCTTTGCTACCAAGATATGAAAATACCTGCCCCAAAATTATTATGCTGTTTTTATAAATACCTCTGATGTTAAAAACTGAAGCTAGGAAAAGGGGATATGTGTGTTCAGATGTGCTGCAATTCTTTTTTTGTAATTTCAAAGCATCACTGAGAAAGCAGGGAAAAAAACTGGTATTATTAATGTGGGTTTTTTGTTTCTCTTTGACATGAGGTAGCTGAGAAAAATTACAACTCAAATGTCCTGCTCTTGCAAAGACTAAGGCATCATACCAAAATGGTCTATGGTAACCTTCTCCTATGAAGATCTGTAGTCAAAGTACTACTGTGGTGGAATACTTAAAAAGCCCCTCATTATACAAAGAAGACTGGAGAAGGTAAAGCAGTCCTACCTCTGCATCATACTTCACACCATCCACAGTGTGCTCAGATCCCTGGCCATCACAGGAACCCCAGTGAATGTGAAACTGCACCAGCCTGTAGACTCCATCCAGCGCTCCTCCTTGCACCACTGCAAAGAAAAGAACTTTTATTAGCAACTCACATAATTTTTATTATCAAGTCTCCTTTCAAACTGAAACAGCAGTCTCAAGTATTTTGTGTCATTTACATTTCAATGCATGCTGCCATGCTACTCCAGATCATCCTCAATAGTACATTACTGCAATACACCAAAATTGATAATAAATGCATAAAAAACATAAGTGACTTTACAGTGAGCAGCTCATCAGCAATTTAACAGGCATGCTAGTATTACAAGTGATGAGGAAGATGTAACTTTTCTGTCACCAAATAGATTAAAAAAGCCCTTTGTAAGAGCCCACATAGAATCATTCTAAGTACGTACATTTGAAGACTGAATCTTCTTCCATGTACTAATGTAGTCTGTCCTTTCATTTTAGACACTTCATCCATTTAGGTCTTAATCCTGCAAATCCTGTGGCAGATTGGATTGAGTAAAATGTTTCTGGTTCCAATTTAAACCTGAACACCTGTTATCCATGTGTTAGCCTTCTTGCAGCAAGGTAAAGTGCTACGACAAGACAGTGCAGAGATGTGAATTCAAATCTTTTGTCCTTCCCATTGTGGTAAAAATGTCACTGCCTATACAGACAGACTTTTTGGGAACTATTTGTTTACTTATGCTTTCTATTATCTGGCATTACTTGTGCTATGGGACTGCTCTGAGTGAAGTTCCCAGCCACACTTTGAATTACACAACAGCAAGCTCCCTTATTCTGCTTGTTAGTCTTACCCTTCTACTCCAACTGTGACCAATCACCATTATGATATGCAGGATCAAGCCTGACCATTGCAAAATGCTCAGGGCACAGACAATGTCTCCTCCAGTGCAGCATAAAGCACAGGATACTAACAAAAGGTTTTATTAAATAGAGCTATTTATCCAAGTTATCAGAAGGGTTTCACACCAGTTTGTGTGTTGGTTGGGGATTTTTCCCCTTTTTTCCCCCTAAGCATCTCAAATCCAAATTCAAAATTAAATCTTTAAGTTGTTAATATTTTAAAATTTACAAAAAAAAAATAATTTGAAGTGTCAGATATTTTAAGAGACGAATCACTCTCTATAAATATATATACAATAAAGTGACAGAAGAGTGCTGACATCAGATATTACATGTAAGTGTGCTCTATGTATGTGCCACAAAATGATTCTGTGGAGTAAAGATGCTTTCCTCTCAGTCTGCAATTCGTCGAGGCACTAGCACAATACGTACATGTGTGAAAACATGTATCAAATGCTGATTGGAAAAGGTAGCTGCACATTTGAAAAAGTCCCATTATATACAAGCATGGACAACACCAGCCACGGATATAAACACTAAGGTGACAAAGATTTCATTAAAAATCTGCAATACATGAAATGGAGTAAAATTTCTTAAAAATACATTAGTTTCCACTAGTGTTCCCTATGCATGCAAAATTTGGGCTCAGTGGACAAATCTAGCAAATCTAAGGCTCCTTTGATAAATATATTTAAAAGTCTCCCTACATGTATTTTTATTTGAAAAACATGAATAGATGTTCCACTGCAACCTATGTAATTTCCAATACTGTAGTCAACAGACCAGGACTTGCCCTACCTACTTCCAAGCTATGTGATCCAAAGAAGAATGTCTACTTAAAGTAATCAAATAAGAACATATCTTACTCTACTTTCACATTTCTGCATGTGCTAGTTGCCAAGAAGCATAACTGTTTCAAGCACAGGACTACAAATATGAGAACTTTTTTCAGAACAGCAGCTGTAGAAGGGCATTAGTAACTTTTGGAAATGAAGCACCTGGTTGCTGTGTCTTTATAGATTCAAAATAATTTAATGCATACAATTGCATGTCTCATTCTAAAATTATGCCATGGAGTTGCAATGTTTCAGTTCCTTTAGCTCACAGTCTTGCTGGTTGTTGCAGGTACAAATGGACTGAGGTTCCACCACTCTTTCACCTCAGAAAGCACTAGCACAGCACAGGTTAATTTGCCATTATTAATCAATGGAAAGCATGCTGAAAAGCAGAACCATGCAACGTTCTTGAGTTCATTTGCAGTGTTATTTCTCCACACAAAGTTTGCTAAAGTCTCAAAACCCCGAAAGATACAGAAAAATCTCTTTGCAGTTTTTGCTTACTTTTCTCATTCTGTGGTTCTCAAATCCAGCACTAGCTTATTTTGACTCACAGCAGAGCATTCAAAGAAAGTAATAATTAGATTAGTGAGAATGAATACAATCCAGCAGGCTTAATTACAGAATGGCCCTCTTGTTTTAGCCTACATGAAGCAGTTATTTTATTTTTAATTCTTCTCAGTCTTTCCAAGAAAGTAAAACTTAAAACTAAACTTAAAAGGCAAAGTAGGAATGATCGAACTGCTATTTTCTTCAGAACAAGCTTTTTAAACCATAAATGAATGCTACCAGCTTTTGCACTATAAAAGTTCACAGAGAATCAGAACAACATTCATACCAGCAATTTCCCTGTCCATGTTCCGTGTGACAGGAATATCAACTCGAAACCACGTTGAAAAAAAGTCCAATCTTTCCATCCCTTTTTAAAAAAGGATGGAGAAGTTCTGATCCATATTTGAGCATTTCATCATTATCTCCCTTACTTTTGAAATCGGTATTAGTTAAAACCATCCTGGAAATACATATGTAGCTGTGATCCTTTCTGTTTTATGGCACAGTTTCAGATGCATGCTGTCTGAATACAACATAAGATGAGCTGAAAAAACATTCTTTTCTTACAGATTCCATTTACTCAAGACAGTTTACATCATAAACTGGTCTTGTGTTACAGCCCAAGAGGAGACAGTTTGACAGTGCACTTTCTTCTTTTCCCTATTAGACACTTATTAGACAAATTTGGAGCTCCTTTCCTTCGATTAAGAAATGGTAAATTTTTTCAATTACCATTCTATCTTCTACCCTTTACTGGAAAGGCTATACTAGCAACATCCAGTAATGATATTTCACTGTTAAATGATCTCATAATGTGGTCTAAATTAGGTGAATACAAGTATTAGCACCACTAATTCAGGAAGTCAAATAACTACACAAACTCTTCCACTTATGTGATTTATGCCAACTGTAGGATTTCTTGGATACAGAAGATGAAGTTGATTTGACTCCATTATAATTTCTTGGGGTATTTGAAAACACACAGAAGCCAAAGGGTGTTTTGCTGCATCTAGTACAGCTGTTTAGTGAGGCTACACACCTTCACTCTTCTATTTAAAGGCAGGTTGGTGAACAATTATCCTTCTAATGTGAAGCAGAGCAGCCTTGTAAAAAATACTGCGGACCACTTCATACCTTTTCTCAGGAAGTGGCAGCATCCACATCGAAATTTTTGCAAGAATACTGTGGGAATTACTGTTATTTAGTTAAATCCTATGGAATGTTCTCTTTATACCGAGCAGAAGACTAATACATTCATAAAGCCAATAAACATGTCAAAGGATTCATCAAAATGGAGGAACTACAAGACTGTTTAATGAGTTAGACTGAATTCCTTCCTGTCTTACAAATCAGTGTGACAAGAAGAAATACTACTGTTACGTTTGTTAGAAAATACGGAACGAGAAAATGTTCTACAAATGACAATCATTGACTACAAAGCTCCTTCCAGTAGCTGAAATAATGAGTCCACTAGAGTACAATAGATGTTCAAAACTCCAAATCTCAATCTCTAATTGAGATTCCACCAAACAAAAACCTAGCAGCAGGATATTTAAAGCACCTACCTTTGAGAAGAGCCCTCTCACACACACACTGCTTTAGCACAAAGAAAATCACGCTTTTGTATCAGCCTATGGTAGATGTGAAGTGTAAATAATATTCTAGGCATATGTTTATGTAAACATATGCATAGTATTAGTGCTAATATTTGTTAAGCTTTTGTGTGTACACAGACATCTGCACAATGGAAAACAGGACCTGAAGAGACAAAGCAGATTAAGCACTACTTGAGGCAAGGAAAAAAAAAAACTACTTGAGCACCATGTACTATTAATGACATGAAAAAGGCTCTTATGAGGATGCTCAGGAATTAGCCTTGTGTTCTTATGCAAGGATGGGCTTCCCATCTGACATGCTAGAGTTCAGTTAGGGTGAGCTGTCACTTCTGTGAAACATGGAGTACAGAGAGTCACATTTTGTGAGATGTTTCCTTCTTTATGTTATCTCTTTCAGACATTCCTCCTAGGACATTGTATCATGACAAGCAACAAGAGCAAGACAGCATTGAAGCATCTGACTGTAGGGCTCATATTTGCAGAAAATGTCCATAATGGGTTTCACTATGATAAAAAAAAATTGGTATATCATAAGGGAAAAAAACCAAACCAAACATACTTCTGACCTTGCCAGAAATTGAGCCTGATAAGGCTACAAGGATGTTCCACAGAGATAGACCAGAATGAAACAGCTGCCAAAACACAGCATGTCTGAAGACGTGTGTATCTGCAGCAGGTCAGTGGTTCCAATTCACCTCAGTTGAACTATTTCATCCAGACTGGGCAGCAGCCAGGAAGACTCTGACCTGCTTCAGGATACAAAGTCATTCAGGTTCTTAACATTCCTCCAACTCCCTGGGACCAGCAGAGCTTATTTCTCATGCAATCTCTTAAACAGAAATTCTCTGAGAATCATAAGATGCTGCACTGAGTCTCTGAACAGCCTTCAGCCCTCACATTTCACACTATATAGGCTTACACCAACTCTTAAGAACCAAGCTGGAAAGTATCTCTTGAAAGTATCAACTGATTTAATTTCTAATAGCAATACTTAAATACTATGCTGTGGCTGCTCACTATACTGAAAATTGTGCACTGCAGTGTTCATACTACACTCAGATCTTCTAATGAAGGACTAACAAACTCAAGGTGTGAGACGGAGTATGCAGCAGTCCCTCATGGCTGTAAGTAAATAAACAAATTATCAGCTGAGAAGAGTGGTAATCGTGACATCTGGCACACAGCTTCATTACAACTTAAAAATAAACTTTGCCAAGTGGCCCCAGCTGATAACAGCTGACTAGTTTCTCCTGGTTTTGCATTAAAAGCACCTCTAGAGGAGGGATTAGCAAAAGGGAAGGAAGCAAGATTCCATGATTGTTAAATGCGCAATTCAGGTCAAATTTCTGCTCAGAAATATTAACATTAAAAAAAAAAAAAAACCAAAAAAAAAAACAAAACACCCACAAACCAACCCCACCACAGTGCAAATGAAGAAGGTCATTTCTCTGTAAAGAAATGAAGACCTGAAACCTGCAAGACTAAACTCATGCCCTCTCATCTTGCTTTCCAGTTCCTGGAAATTCTGTCACTTGTCCTGGAAATTCAAGTCACTTGTTTATACAGACTTTGCAATTTCTGGTGATCCCAATTCACAAGAAAAATGATTTAAAGCATGCCCTTGAAACCTCTGACATTTTAGCTAAGCCATACACAACATTACATGTGACATAAACAGGTGTCTGAATACAGTCCCCTAAATCTATAATCAATCAGCTCTCTGATCTCTGATTCCAAAGGATCAACACATTCATTGCTTAAGCAATGTAGACCTACAATGCATGACCCTATACTGATGACATGCAATATTATTCTGGCATGGTTAATATTATATCTTTAGATCTGGGAAACCTAAAAATATACCAGTAGCAGTGACTTTGATTAAGAGTAGTGCCTTAAAGACAGCAGACCTACATGTTTCTTCTTCCACTTACCAGCTGAGATGGAAGTGTAGAAGAGCAAAAATGACATTATTTTCAAAGAAACTCACTGCCAACTGAGCAGTGCTAACGCACTGGCTCTTCCATAACCACTGCGACAAAATAGATTAGTTTATTTACAGTGAGTCATAATTCAAGACAGCTGAAGTGTATGCATTAATATTTACAATTATAGAAAGAATCAGGTAAAATATTGGATTACAATGACTGAAAGACTCTCAAGGGGAGCTAGCATTTAGGCAAATACAGGATTTTAATGTTCAAGGTCTTCTCATAACTTTTACGTTCTACTATGACTTAGTATTTGCAAAAATGTCACATTTTCTTGGGACACTGACTTGAATTTGAATACTCTAGCTCAGCAGCAAGGAGAAGGAAACAATTGAGAGACTTAGCCACAAGCATAAATTACCAGCACATTTTGTCAAGTCTCTAGAGTTTGACACCATAGTTGCAATTCACTTCTGTCAGGTTCTACAGCTAAAATATGATATTTTAGCATTCTTGTTATGGAATAAATTAATGGCTGATTGACTTCTTTTTTTTATAAGCTCATCAAAAACTTGATCATAAAATACAGAATAGAGAGTCTACTGTTGTGAACATGCCTCACTTGAATTTCTGAACTTAGATAAATTCTCAAAGACTCTCTGGAAAAATTCACACACGGAACACACTTTATGCATGTTACAAAATCTTGCAGGCTCTTGAGGGTTTTTTGGGCACAGTCATGTCCTGTGGTTTTATGCCTCTGAGAGGTCACTGTTTATGTCTGTCTTTTAAAGTGAGGGAAGTGATACACAAGTCCTTACAGAAGACTGGAATACATAACGTTTATTATGTTAAAAGACATCCCCTTAATGAGACTCCTTTGCTGTAAAGTTCCTGTATAATAGTTACAAATCTAATTTTAAGAATTATCATCATCACTTGCTTCACTCATACAGGTAGGGTCTGGTTCCATTACGAGAGTGGATGAACCTGAATTCAAAGTTTTATTCCTAGTGACACTTTTATGATAATGAGTTTTTGCTGTCAAAATGAAGAAGAAATTTTTGAAATTAAAGACTTTTAAAGATTAATGCCTACAAATACTTTATGTTCCACTACTATTAAAAGACAGAGGACATGAAAATTAATAAAGCAGCTGGAAGAACTGAAGGCGAAGGCTGACTAAGTAACAACTGAATGGGGAAGTTCAGAGTTCAGTTTCTACATACAACCCCAAGAAAGCATTCCAAAAGGCTCCCAGCATACAAAATAGAAAATACCTATTTTCATTATGCTATTACTACCTGCGTGGAGTTTTTTAGTGGCAATTGTATATTTTTTATTATATCATTTATTATATTATTATTATATATGATTTATTATATTTTAAATTGAATTTTGTATATTCTGAAGAGCAGAAGTGATCACTCAGACACTAAGACCTAGAACTGCTGTTCAGTTTGCTTCAGTGTTGTTAGTTATGACACTGACAGTTCTTAATGAAATGGATCTACTTTTTGTGCAGTTACTCATCTTGAAGATTATTCACAAACAATGATCTTATTACTTCATTTTGCGCCTACAGATAATTCATTACCACATATGGGACAGCTCATAGAAGCAAGCAATATAGCCTGTGGGAAGTATTTACAGGATATTATTCCATTGTCTTTTGTAAAACATACCAGCACATCACATAACCTCACATAGCTTCTCCCTGTGACTGTTGTGTGATGTCTAAGCAAGAACAGGGTACACATATTTGAGTCTCAAATTCAGAATCAAGCAGATACAAGTCAAAGACAGCTCTATTTAGTGTAAGGAAAGTAGGTTACCTAGTTAACCGCATACAAATGAAGCCATTAAGTATGCTGCCAGGTAGATTCTATGCACTGTAAGTTTCAATAGGAAGTCTAGTAGTGAATGATCCACCCTTACCCAGCTTCACAGGTATCTGTTTAGTCGTTTTTGTTTCTAAAGAATAATAATTTTTTGCTTCACTAATAGAGACACTGAGAATATTTCTACTCGCATCTCCTATCCTTCCTTCTGAAAGCTCTGTCACTGCGTACTTGTCAAAGAATCCCTGTCACAGATGTTCTGGCTCTGCACTTTACTTCTCATAAAGAGCATTCTTCCTGCAGACATTTCTTTAAATCATTTTATGTTCCTGCCATTTTTTCCTCACAACCTGATTTTCACAGTTGTTTTCACTTAGGTACACACCAAGTGAACACAATAGCTTCTTACACTGTGGAGACCCAAACCTCATTCTTTTGGGCTCAGTGAGAGCAGGATGGCAGCAAGAGTAGACTTGCGCATATCTGGTAAGAATTTTTTTTTTTTTGTACTCTGGATCATTTACCTTATTCTCCATGACACTTAAACTGAACACAATGCAGCTCCTTTAGCTTCCCAGTGTTTCAAAAAATAAACAGTGGTCAGAATACCTTTTTTCTCTCCTTTTTAAAAGTGTACAAATATCAACATTGATGCTTTTTGTAAATTGTATGTGGACCTATGTGTATTTATACAACCGTTAACACTTATTACTTAATATTGTCCAACATAAAAAATATAGTTAAAATACAAAGTCAAATTCTTAGAGCACTGCTGGATGTCTGTTCTGCTGTATTACATTAGTTACAAAAACCTCATATTTTTAGTAGGCACAGATCATTTGGTTTCAGCACCATTCCCTAAATGACATGCCCAACAAAACACTTAGGAAAAATAGGACACTTGCTCAAGCAAGTTAAATCAGGCAGTGTATAGAGAAGGCAGTGACTTACAACAGGATTGTTTTTGTTGTCCAAATTAAAAGCACATTCATTGTGGCAGGGTGATGACTTCTGCAAATGGAGCCGTATGAAAAACTACAATCAAAGACAACATACAGAGCCCTCGTTGCAAGGACAGCTTGGATTCAGTCTGCCCATCAGAAAGGCTGTTCTTTTCAGTAAGAATTACTAAGGTTTTGCAGGATTCTGTGCTTAATTTCACCACAGAGCACAATGAACAGCAAGATACTGTGGACCAACTGTCTGCTAGCAAACTTTTTAAGAATCCATCAGACACTTTATCTAGAAAGCCCAGCATCAAGAAACACCAGGGATAATGCTTTTTTGACTTATAAACGAACAAAGAGGAATTTTCTAATAATTTCTCTGTTTCTGTACTAACCTGGGAGCATACTGGCTTCAGAAATATGAAATAATATTTTGATAACCAAAGAAACTATTTCCACTTCAAGTTGTTAACTGTAATCCTTTGCTATTCTAAGGCGATTTTTTGCTACGATGTATTTCGCCTCTTCTTTTAACCATTTAAGCAGTAGCTTATGATAATCTATGCCTAAAATTATTCCTGTCCAATACGCTTTTTTTTTTTTTCTTTCCACAGCCTAGCCCTTATCCAGATCCTTCTGATTTATACAAAAATAAACTAATTCACTTCACTGGACTTTAGCTGCCTAGACAGCCTTAGTTTTCTTCTAATGGGATCTCAGTTTCCTGTCTGCTGAATCCTCACCTTACAGGAGCCAGAATATTTTAGTATGTTTTCATCCTTAAAATACCCTTATGGATTTAGAATACATTTTAGTAGGAGTATTAGTAGCAATTTCTGTCATTCCCCTCCTGCACATGAAGGTGAGGTCTCACCTGACTTGTCGGAAGAATCGTCGAACTCCACGTTGAAAGAGTGCCCGTTGTTGACGATGTTTCTGGCCGTGCTGGCATCATAACTGAAGCTAAGAGGCTTCAGAGAGGAGTCGTACTTGGCGGACTTGCGGCAGATGTCAATGGGGGACTGGCGCTCTCCATTGGCGATGGGAAAGTGCTCATGCCAGTGAGCGGGTCCTGTAAGACAGCGGAAAGCAACTCAGTGGGAAAAGACACAAAGTTCGGGGGATATAAGAGATAACCTTCTCTCTGGAAATCGGGATGTTCGAACAGCAGCATCAGCCTTTAGCTGCGTGCCACTTGTGTGGGCTGGCGGTAGCAGCAGCACAGGCGAGCAGAGATCCCACCTGGGCACCGAGACACCCGGCAGCCGCACAGCCTCGGCGGCTGAGGCGGGGGCTGTACCGGGGAGTCCCCGGGGACACCCCGTTCTGTGGAGCAGTGCCCATCGCTCCCTTCCCGAAGTAAAGGAATGTCAGCAGGGAAGCAGGAGATGCTCCGGCACGGCGTCCGGAGCGCCGGACAGGCTGCCCGGACGCAGGTGCATTTCAAGGTTACGAGAAAAAAGCGCCACCGAGCTCACTGCCGCTCCAAGCAAGGGCTCCGCGGAGCAGCAGCGGGCGCGGCTCCCGGGGACCTGCCGGCAGGTGTCCCGCACGCCGGGCACTCACCGTCGTGGCTGCCGTATCCCCAGTGGTGGGACATGGTGCGGCCCGGCTCTGCCCGAGGAGGCTGTCACAGCACCGTGGCCCCAGCACGCTCTCAGGGGCTTTTATAGGCTCCCGCCAACTCCATGCCCTTCTCTTCGGCCAGAGGAGGGGTGGGGAGTGCGGGCGAGGGCGGAGGGAGACTCCGCTGGGGGCGGGGTGAGCGGTCGCTTATAATCCGCCATCGGCCGCGGAGCTGTAGCGGGCCCGGTGAAGAGCGCCCCCAGCAGGCGGGCGGTGCCAGGCGGTTCGCAGCGGCCGCAGGCAGGGCGGGGGTGCCGGGCTCCCTCCCGGCTCCCTCCCGGCTCCCTCCCGGCTCCCTCCCGGCTCCCTCCTGGCTCCCTCCTGGCTCCCTCCTTCCATCCTTCCGCGCATCACGCACCGCGCACCTGCGGGCGCTGCGGGGCGCAGTGAGGCGCCGTGACCTTGGGAGGTGCCGGTGGCTGGGCCGAGCAGCGCGCAGGGAGCCGGAGCGGGGCGGGCGGCGGTGCGAGGGTGCGGAGTGAGAGAGGGAGCGCGGGCGCGCCCGTGTGTCCCGCGGTGGCTGCGTCTGTGTGTACGTGCGGGTGCGCGGCGCGGCAGGGCGGTCGGGTGCTGCTCCCTGCCGGGAGCGGAGGGAAAAGAGGGAAGAGGGCAGTTCAGCAGTGCCGGGGGTCCTGCAGCCGGGGTTTGTCGCAGGTGCCAGGTTTTGGAGGCGGAGATCGGCGGAGTTGCGGAGAGGAGCTGCGGTGGGGCTTCAGAAAAACGGGCACGTCACCGCTTATTGCTCCGTAGTGCGTTTTTCCTGATCGCCTCCGGAGAAGCTGCAGGTCGAGCTGCGCTTACGTGTAATTCTTATCATTGAGGCATTACACGCTTAACTGTGAGTGCGGCTCAGCTACCGCTCTCGAGGCTGGATTAGCGAGAACAAAACTGTGCAATACATAATTTTAGATGTTTTCCTATTGCGCAACGCTCCGGTGCTCTGTGGCAGGACAGGAGGGATCGGACCTTGGCAGCCCTTCCAGCGGCGGCTCCGTTCCGTGCCGTGCCGCTTCCCTGGCCCCGAGGGGCAGCTCCTAGCCGAGTGCGCTTGCAGACGGTCTTGTTCGAAGGCTTTTCTGTGTCTTGCTCTGAGCAGTTTTCGGTATGGAAGTGACATTGTAACTTAATCCATTTTCTTATTAAGATGGTTTATTCAAATCTGGTTTTAATATCGTTCTGTTGTGATTTAACCGCGGGGGACTAGGTTCTCTTTTCAGTGAGGTCATTGTAAATCTAGAATAACAACACCAGAATGACTTCATCATTTACATTCTGCATTGTAAAATCTGCATCTTTTGTTTGTATTTGTAAGAGGAGGGAGAAAAGTCTATTTGTGTAATGGGTACTATTGGTAACAGGAAATGTAACCAACTGGAAGTCACTTAAAAAATTACGGACATTTCTCAGATTCTTTCAAGTATAAGCAGTAAATATTTAAAGCTTATTAGTGATTAACACTGTGTGTGTTCTCACATTTGCATGCTTCAATATGGTTTAGCGACCACAAAATGGAAATTTGATGGCAAAACTGTATACACAGAAGTTATTTAGAAATGGCTGTGGTGTGTGATGTAGAACAACAAATGGAAATGCATGTTACACATTTATTAGTCATTCCTTGTTCTATTATTATAGATACTTTGCATCAGTCACTTTCAAATCTGCCAGTCATGCTATCCAGTATATCAAGTCAGTAAATGCGGAGAGACATAAACCCATATAGGTAAAAACCCTTAAAGTACACACCAAAAAACATCTCTTTATGTTGTGAGAAGGAATAAGATTTTGGTACACTTCAGAAGGTTTCCTTCCATTCAATTTTACTGTTGACAAAATCCATTCAGCCTGATTCTTCTGTACTCTCACAAGTCAAGTTTCCACTGACGTCAACAGGAGTACCATATAAAGGACAAGTACAGGATTAAACATGACACGATGTTTGGCATGGTAGGCTTCCTAAAAGATCTTAGGGCTCTTACCAGGGAAATTTTAAGCCACCAGCATCACCAAGGGACTGGGATTTTTTTTTTTTTTAATCTTCATTTTCTTATCAGTAAATGTGGTGCATGCTAAGCATGCAGACATACATCTCCGAATAGAAAGTCCCATGCTCTTGAAATCAAATACCTATTTTCCTTGATCATTCAGCAGTACTTGCAGGCTTGAGCCCCTGCCAAAGGACTAATGAGAGTCTGGCATTGACTTGGGCTTGTTGATTCCAGCCTCTTTCTTTTCTCCCACCCGCATCAGACTCATAATCTGTGACTGTGGCTCTGTGGCAGAATGCAGTGCCTCAGGCAAAGCCATAAGCTAGCCCCAAGAGGAAGGTGGATACTAGAAATGGTACAATCTATCACATTGCACATGGGTGAAGCTGCAAGGCATGTTAGCAACAGCAAAAGGGAAAAAACACATCAGCTCGGTGCCTGCAGCAGTTCAGGCTTCTCACAGAAATCCAAACTACTCTCCACGAGGCTGCTCCTCTCTGCCCAGTTGTGATGAGGTCAGTGGAATGACGCCCACCACTGAGGCCTACTTGCATGTACAGAATGTGTAGGAGCAGTTCCTAAAGCACGTGGTCACAAATCCTGTGGCAACAGAATATTATAAATGCATTTCAAGCAATACAAATAAAGGGAACAGATTAGATAATTACTGTAGCCATTTGATTACTCATGACTGACATTAACATTTTGGGTAGAAAAGATGCCAGTGCAATCTTGTCTCTCTTTTCTGTCACTACCGGTGCCGCATACTGTGAAGGTTTTTAGAATTTAATAAAAGCAGATGCTATTCTTCATCTCTCCTCAATTTCTTAGAGTCAGATCACATCCAAATGTGGTAAACAAATTGGTGTTTCTAGATTTGATGGTACTTCTGAATCATATTAAATACAAACAGAAGCAGCATCAATAGCTTCAGTAAGTGCAAACTCTTCATTTACTCAGATACCTCCATGCTGTTTGTGGTACTCATTCATGGGCAAATGACAGTGCAAAGCCTGTACATCACTCAGGCCCCACTTGAGTTCTGTTTTGAAATTTTACATGTCACAGAACAGTTGTTGACTCTGTGCACAGGAAGGGCACATCCTGTTTGTGCCTGCTTTATGAAATTTCCTGAAATATATTCTTATTGTGATTATTATTACTTGTGAAGCACTGAAAATGGCGATACAGATGGAAAATGGCACAGATGCTTCCATATCTAAGTCTTTTTTTCCTTAGTAAATTACCAGCTTCTGGTACTACTCTGGCTGCAGAAGTGATGACATGTCACACAGGCTATAAACTGCTAGACATTTTCAGCAGAAGTGCATTCAATGATTATGCTGTGAATCTACCTTTTCATTTTCATGGTAGATTTTCAACTCTGAAACTATTTGCAGTCTTTTTGTATCATTAACAGTCATGTTACTGTTCAGTGCTGAGCAAGATGCAGAACTTTGCAGTGTTCTGATTCATTCTAGCAATTCTGTGAAAGTTAAATGCAATTATGAAAATAAAAGTAATTTTTGGTCCTCGGTCAGGTTAGAGTCCTTTCTTGTATTATAAAAATGATGGTTTACTACTAGTTTCTAATGAGAGACTAATACAAGTGCTTCAAGCTTCATGACATGTCAGTGCAGTGGGAAAAGCCTGACTGCTTCACATGTTGAGTTCTAACTATTTCTGATACAAGCTACTTCAATGCATTTTGAAATATACATATAAACTTTGAAATATACCAACTTTAAGTAGTCTCTGCTGTAAAAATGAACAAGCTTGACTGCATGAATATACTTTAGTTTCCAGACAAAAGCTATTTGTCATGATTCAGTGAAATTACATCCACGTGATAAAGCCCTGCGCAGTATAAAATTAATATCAGTAAAGACATTTTAGTTAAGTCCTGCATATTTAGGAAAATCTCTGTGTATGTGCCTTCTCACACCAGGCTAAAGTATTGGTTCACGAGCTGCCATGATGTCTTGAACTGTCACACAGCCTGGCCTTTAGGTGTCTGGTCTGTACAGTCTCACGTGCTATTTCCTTGTTCATGTGATAGTGTGCCTTCCTTCTCACACGCGAATGTGTCTGTGGTCATCATCCTGACTTCTGACTATGTAACTTTCTGCAAATAAACTCCATAATGTTTTGAAAACCTCTGCCTCCTGCAACTGGCATTGTTGCTGGTAAACTTACATCAACTCCTACTGGAAGTCTATTACCAGGATGCACATGAGCGTATGGCAAGGCAACA